AAAGGTTTTTGAGGGTTCAGGTGAACGTGGAGTGTGACATACTGGCAAAGACATTAATTTTCGTTGTAAAAACATGCTTCTCGGAACGATGTGATTTCTTAAACTGTCATTTCATTTTTGCCCTCAAAACACTCTCTGCAGGATGAACTTACGGCAGTGAACGTAAAGCAAGGCTTCAGTAACCAGCCGGCCTTCTCCGGAGACGAGCACGGCTCTGCCAGGAACGTCGTCATCAATGCCTCAAAGGTGAGACGGGGCTTTTTGCTCTGAGGATGCTCGTTGAAGTTGGAACCCAGCTGGCAGTGGTCGTACTTGGTTCTTGGCTGCTTTGCTTTCTGGTTGGATGTCTTCCTGTTAAAGTTAATTACACAATTAATATCCGAGTGCTGAGCTGTGCTTCTGCTACCTGGTGTTATCAGTCTGCAGAGGAAAACACGGGTGCCAAGCACAAAACGTAAGTAGCACGCTTCAGCGTAGAAGAGATGTTGATTTTTGCTCCTGATCTTCTATTTGCTTCACTTACAAAGGCAGTAGTGACTCCTTCCCCGAAAGTCCCTGTATCTGTTTCATCAGGTTGTTTTCTGCCTGGAGAAACTGGTCGCTGTGGTCCAGCTCTTTTGGAAATATATTCTTGGATTGTTTAGTGAAATTTAGCTTAGACCTCCTGTGTTTAGTGGTTTTTTTTTTTGAGAATCAAAGAAGTGTGAGATACAAAAGAGCAATATGAATCACTAAAATACTAGTTACTATTCTCTAAATTGAAAAGAATAGCTTTTTAGAAAAAAACCCATCCCATATTTCTTTGAGGGATTTGTCCAGATTCATGTACTCTTTTTTTTTTTTTGTTTTTTTCCTGTTGGGAAAGCAGGAAGAAGTGGTTTTGAAGCAGTATGTTATCAAGAAGCTTATAAAAACATTTTCAGACAAAGTGATTTTCTGCTCTTTGACTTTTAAAATATGTAACATTTTACGGCTTATTAGAAAATGTGAATTTACTTATGCAGTGATGCTCTTTTATTGTAACAGGAGAAGAGATACAAGTAAGTGACAGGGTTGCTATTGTTGAAATGTTAAAGGTTTTCCTGTTACATTCTTCTGATTTTGTTTTCTGGAATGACCACCTGCAGGCACTGTCTGTCTTACATTTTAATTATTTGTGTTTTGACGATTGAGTGTAACTGACTGAAGAGTAAAACTGAAATTCACAAGAAAGCGCTTATAGTTGTTTGGGAGGTTTAAGTGTAGAATTACCAAAATAAGTTCAGGATCTCCTAAAAACTTTTCATAGATTTTAAAATTACCCAACTACGAATATATTTATTAAAAAGTCAAACAGTTTATTCTTACTGACAGGCCTAAAAATTAATTTCTGTTATAGTAATTTTGAAAAGTAAGTAAGCTTACACGTGAAGTAAAACCTCAGTTGGGCTTTTTCCTGCTGTTTTGGGATTGAAAGTACCGGGGAAGCAAATCCTCCAAAGCTTCTCATTCTGGAGATACCGAGTAGTAGCAGAAGTGTTTAGAACAGAAGTCAGAACACTTCCTGGCTTGTCTGAATCTTTGGAGTTTTGCCCGCTGTAACTGATGATGGAAAGACAACAAATGTGGTTCTTGTGACACTATAGCTTGTCCTAAATAGAAGTTACACACTTTATGGTGTAGTAAAGTGTAGAAGCAGAGGGATGTTCTGACACACTCTTGGAATACGCTGAATCCGAGACACCCATGTGTTGGAGGGATGCAGCTTTGGGCATTCACAGTGACCCATCGTAACTGGAGCTGCATCTCCGGGGTCTCCGGGCCCTGGTCAGCTTCTGTGATGATACCGCAGAAGTCTTGCACGGGTGCTTGATGCCACGAGTGCCCATCTCCCAGCTGCAGGCAGTTCCAGCGTGCTCTTGTTAGATTGATAGCCTGGGCTGGAGCGAGGGCTGTGTCTATTCACATGGAAATCCTTTGTGCATTAATGTGCTCACTGGATTGTCACACATGTTTTGCTTTTTCCCCCACCAGATTGGCGCTTACTTTAGCAGTATATTAGCAGAAAAGCTGAAGCTTAACACTTTCCAGGACACGGGGAAGAAGAAACCACAAGTAAATGCCAAAGACAACTACTGGCTGGTGACTGCTCGATCTCAGAGTGCAATTCACAACTGGTTCACAGACCTAGCAGGAAGTAAACCGCTGACTCTTTTAGCAAAAAAGGTATCAAAACATTCCTTCCTCTCTTTCTTGGATACGGGCTTGTATTGAATTGGGCTGGAAGAGTAGGGCAGTATTTCTGAACGTGCTGGATGTGGAGCGGTGCGGGAGGCAGCTGCTGCTCTGCAGCGTGTTCCCTCTCTGCAAGGAGGGTGACTGGGCAAAGGGGAGCTTCTGCTCTAGCTGGTAAGAAGTGCCTTTGGATGACTACATTTTAGCTCAGGCGTGTTTATCTCACTGACAGCCAGGTTCTCTGCCTGTACACTTCACTTGGAGGGTCTCTCTCTCAAACAAAGGGATAGTGTACAGGAATTCTTGTGTCTGCCAAGGAAATAATCGTCTTGGAAACTGGTGCATTCTTAAAAGAACCTGCTTGCTAACTCCACCCCCTTTACATGCTTTTCACATTTACATTTGTATTTGTATTAACAGTCTTTGTTAAACAGTCTTATTAGTTGCATTCTTGTATAAATTTCCGATTAAGGAGAAGAATTCTTGCTCCTTTGTAGCAGGAAAAGGCAATTTCCAGCTATCTTTTTTTGGATACTGCATGCTGTTAAGAACAGCAGTGCGAGATAAATTTGGAGTGGCCATTGAAACTCATCCAAGGTAGTGTCTAGAACACAGTAACAAAGGTGCTGTTATTCATGCTTTCTTTCCTGAAGCTCTGTGTACAAGCAGCTAATCTTACAGCATCTGGGAGTTGCTCTGCCTGTAAATTAAACTGAAATAAGGAACTCTCATTCCAAGACTATTGAGCATAAATGGACCAAAATAACAGAAGGTACAAGTTCCACCAGTTTTTGGTCTGTTGCCATGCAGTTGGTGAAGAACGTGTGCTGCTTTGCCGCCGATAGAGCCACCAGAGAAAAAAAAAGAGCTTTGCTGTGTCGAGCATGCCGCTGCTGCAAGTTTCCCCCAAACTCTCTGAGAGGTTAACTTTGTAAACAGAAGTCCTCAGGAGATTTCTTTCACTATTTATTTATTTAGAAAACCAAACCAGATTTATAAACCTGCTGAAGCATGTTAAGAACACGGTGAAACTGCCTCTGCAGCGTCACTAGGCTGGCCGCTGAAGAGCGTTACAGGCAAGGGCCGGCGCTGTGTTTGCTGCTCCTGCAGCATTGGGGCACCCTGTTCTCCAGGTGCCCGCCAGGAAGGCTGAGGGTGCCTGAAGGAGCAATGAGGGTTTTTTGGTCGGGGATAGTAAGAGCAGCAGTTGTGCCTCCGCTCCCTTCTGTCTCCACTGGGTATGAAATGTCCTGTTCTCGTGCCTGTTGCTGTAAAAACGCATTTTAAACTTACCCTGCCTTTATGCAGAAAGTGTAAAGGTTGCTGTGACAGAATAGAGTGACTTTTCACCTGGGAATCTGCAGGCCCATTCCCACTGTGTGCGTGGCCAGTGCAGGCAGTGTTAGCTGGCCAGGCTGTGCTGCCCCGGTGTGCTCTGAACCAGGGGCACCTGTGAGACTGGCAGTGTGTGTGCAACTGGACCCCGACCCGAAACCTTGATACATTGCCATTTTTCTAGAGGTTCTGAGGATCAGCTTGCAGGACTCTTTCTGCACTTTAGATACTTTTGGCTGTGTTGAGAGGTTTGCTAGCGGCCCTGCGAGCATCTCTGAGTGAGGGAAGGATGCTCCCAGTGAAACCTGGGGGGAATGTGGCGTGGTATATCTTTTTTTTTTGTCAAGCCTCTGTTTCTATGTGCCTAGACAATAGGTGTTGTTAGTGTGGTGGGCTCCTAGGGTGGTGGCGAGGTGTGCCACTCTCCAGGTAGCACGGGGCTGAGCAGAGGAGGCCTGGGCTAACCCGCTGGTGCCGGCTGCTGTTTGGACTGTGCTGTAACTTGCCTCCTGTTTCATTTCAGGTTCCTATTCTCAGTAAAAAAGAAGATGTTTTTGCTTACTTAGCAAAATATTCCGTGCCACTGCTGCGAGCGGCATGGCTGATCAAAATGACATGTGCCTACTACGCTGCTATTTCTGAAGCTAAAATCAAGAAACGCCAGGCCACTGACCCAAATATTGGTAAATAAACATCTCTAATGTTTAAATGCTTAGTAATAGCTAGGGGCCTGCTCCTCTTGTTCATGGCTTTGCTGTTACGAGGTCTCCAGAGAGGAGTCTTTGTAGTGGGAAAGGGAATAAAAATTCTTTTAAATCGGTTTCGCTCAGAAATGTGTGTCAAAGAGCAGAGAGCCATGCAGCGTAAGTACTGCCCTGTTGGCTTCTCCTCCTCCCAGCTGAGTCCTCCCTCCATCTCCAGGTGCAGCATCTGAGGAGACGACTGTGCTGCATCTTCACCACCGACGCCGGTCCCTGCGGGGCTGCAGCAGCGGCAGAGGCTGCGCTAAGATACCTGTGAGCAGGGAGCGGACAGAAGTGCTCATTTAGAAAGCCTGGAATGAAATGTGAATTTCAAAGCTGATTTACTAGAACACAGGGGGGCAATGTATTTATTTGAAGTACTAACCTTAAATTACACTGTCTGACACCAAGTCAGTGGGCCAAGCAGTGAACACCTTTAAGGTGTTCGAAGGTACTTCACTGTTACCAAAGTTGTAGTTTTACTCTCTTGATTTACATACACTACCTACAGCTTTCTACTGTCTAGAATGAACGCTTTCCTTCTTTGTCCTCAAAATAACTGTGCTCAGAACAGGCAATTTCACTGCTGTTTAGCAGCATCTCTACTGCTGTGAGAAATGTCCACTTCTCCCTGCTAGCTCATTCTGTTGTTTCTTTCAAACTTTGCTTTGTGGTTTGTTTTTTTTTTTTAATTTATAGGCTCGTGACACTCATTTCATTCTGAGTTCCTAGTTAAGACCCTAAAAGTATGTTTTCTATTTTCTAGCAAACCTCTTATGTTTGTTCTTTAGTGACAGTTTTAAAAATATTTTTTAAAATCAGTCTGATTTTTAGAGACAGAGAGCAAGGGGGAGGCAACGCGTGTGGCTGTCGAGAAGGAAGAGAGACACCTGCCCAGATACCAAGTCAGGTGGTGCCTCCACTGGTGTATGAACGGGAGGCTGCTGTGCTGGGGCTGGCTTCTCTGTAGTGAGGTCCGTGCTGTTTCGGTGGGAGATGAGCACAGTGCCCCGCTCTCCCTGCGACACAGGATGGGTTCAGGCTCCTCTGAGCAGTTTTGGCACTGCCAAACGGGGCTGGGTGACTCGCTCTTTCCTTCTCTCAAATTCCTCTCTGTCCTTCGCACCAAGGGATGCTGAAACAGCCCCTCTCTCCAACCTCTCTGGTTGCCTTCCCTTTTCTCTTGAATGACGTAAGCATATTTTGGGGTAGACCTTAGCAGGAGGCTTGGAGCACGCGGTGAGCGTGGGCTGATCGCGTTCCTGATCTGTTGTGAGCAGCTCTGCTAGTGATGGGGGAGCATCTGAGGCTCTGCTAGGGACTGAAACGGTGGTGCTGTGCACCAGCACCGGGGCTGTTCCTTTGCTTGGGCAGCGTATTCCTTAGGGTGTAGTTAAAAAAACACCCTCTCTCGTGGTTGTCTGGGAGTGGGGGAGAAAGGGGAATGAGGAGGAGGTGTGGAAAGCTAAGGTTGTCCACTCTGTTGTGATAAATTGGTCTTGACCTAGTTTGCTCTGGCTGGGAATAGTAGCTCTTTAAAATAAAAGGAGTTTATGCTTACTGGGAAGGTGCAAGGTGGTTGTGTGTGTTGTGGGGTACTCCTGCTGGCTCAGCTTCGGGCTGGCACCGTGGTGGCACCCACTTCACAGCGAGGGTGAGAAGAGTGTCTGAGGCTGGGGTGCCCACGACTTCTATCAGTGAGTGTTCTGAGGCAGGTTACTGGATCATAGAGTCGTAGAATGGTTTGGGTTGGAAGGAACCTTAGAGATCATCTAGTGAAGGTCGCGTCCTCTGTCCAAATTCCCTGTTTTGCAGAGGTGGTTGAGAGCTTTTTGGGAAATTGTTTCCTGCGTGGTACCGAGCAGCCTTTGACAGTTCCCAGTGTGTTTTATGTCTGTGCCTCAGGTAACAGAAAGGCAGTTGCATGTTTCTGACTCGGTGGCACAGAGACATTGGTAATTGCTTTGGGAAAATTAGTCTTTCATACTGTCACATGAAATAAGTTTAAAGTAGTGGATTTGAAATTGTTTTTCCAAAAGTGAGCGAGTGTTTGAAGTAAATGTAGTTAAACCACTCTGTGAAAACACTGAAACCCACTAGCTTCATACGGAAATTTCAGTGGATTTGGATAGAAAAGCATTCGGCATATAGGCTGTATATGTTGACAGAACTGCCAGTTACAAATGCAAAGGGAAGAAAGAATGAATGTGCTGGCTGAAGCCTGAGGTGGGTAGTGAACAGCGAGAGGAGTTGTGTGTGTGAGTGGTGGTTCCTGTAACTGGCAGTAAACAGGCTGAGGTTGTCAAAGCAACTGCATGATGTATTCGTAAAAGAGTGTGCTCTTCTAAAATATGCTGCATGCCCATTAAATGCGGCTCTGTCAGATGTTTGTCTCTCAGGCACTGACAAACATCCATGGTTGTTGCAGTGGCTGTTACGAGAGCGCCTTCCTTACAGTTCCTCCTTTCCCTAAGCTTTATGGTTACGACCAAGCGAGCTCACTTTTGCCCACTAGTTTTTCCAAGTGACACTAAATACAGCATCACTGCTGAAGCAGAGAGAAACTGGTCGTTTTCAGTAGGTTTGTGTGTTTGCTGAGCAGCACCTGCTGCCTTATCTGGGACAGAGGACAGACAATCAGTCTTACTGGCAGGCCTCTGCGCTGTGCTGGTCGCTCGGACCCGAGAAACTGCTCCTGAGCTTCTGCATTCCTCTTCTCATCAGAGTGAAAAATCTGGAGGAGCTATCTGTTTCAGAGTGGCGATGGAAAGAACAGTTTTATAGCCCATCACTTGTGCAAAGTCCCGTTGAGTTTTGCGTTGGCTGTATTTGGAGGGGGAAGGAAGAGGAGAGTAAAGCTCCAGATGGAAAAGGAAGTAACGAAGTGTGCTTATTTTATCTACTTTGAGACTGTTTTGTGGCTGAATGCTGAAATCTGGTGGAAGAGGCAGGTGGTTCCCGAGGGCACACCTTGGGCCAGTGCTTTTTGCCCACACTGAGCTAGCACCTGGCAGTGTCTGTGCTTTGGGACCAGCCCGCAGCAGGGGCGCGTGGGGAGCCCGTTCATTCACGATAGATGCGGCATTAGGCAACCGGGGTTAATGTTTTGGAGGAATATTTTCGATTGCAAAGGCAATATAGGTTTGTTTCAGTTCTTACTGTGAAAGAAACCTTTGATCACCTGAAGTGTTCTAACTGTCAACTTGTTTTGTAGAATGGACTCAAATTATCACCAGGTACCTTCGAGAGCAGCTGGCAAAGGTTGCGGAGTTTTATCATGTGACCTCCAGTCAAGGCAACAGCTCTGCAGTGATGCCTCAAGAGATGGAACAAGCCCTGAAGCAGTGGGAATACAATGAAAAATTGTCATTTTATATGTTTCAGGTAATACTTTAAGAAACTGCATGGGTTTGTTTTTTTTTTTGAGGTTGACGTTCTTGGAAGGTTCAATGTTAGAACTTACTGGTAGGTTTTGTCGTAAGACTTGCATAAATTGTAAATGCTAATTATTTTAAAGATTTGCTAGCTGAAGAAGCTTTGATTTGCATAGTGTGGTTGATTGTGATTGCAGCAATGCACTCAATTATTCCATCTCTTCTATATTATCTCATCATTTAAGAGTGTGTGTAGTGATTGAGGATCAGCCTGAGGCTGCTGTGGCACATGAAGCCTTGGGTGTTGGAGCGGTGGCCAGGCGGTTCTAGCACAGAAAAACTCTCTGGTTATTTCTGCCCGAGGATGGAAATAGCAGAAGGACTGCTGGGAGGGGTCTGTCTGGCAGCAGTAAATCAGGCAGCCTGCTGAATCCCAACCGCAGAGATCGCTGATGCCGTAATCGCATCCCTGTCCGTGGGGCTGCCACGAGGGTGACTGGTTCCTGCACATGTAGTGGTGGTTGAGGGTCTTGGTAGCTCTGTGCTGACACGGATGGTGAGAGCTCAACTAGAGATGAAATCCAGCTTGTAATGACACATCTTCTTGTTTAGTGCTCCCAGTTAATATGTGATGTGTCATTTTAAATGCTTTAAGGAAGGAATGCTCGAGAGACATGAGTATTTGACATGGATACTGGATGTTTTGGAAAAAATCAGACCCACTGACGATGATCTTCTTAAGCTGTTGTTGCCACTAATGCTGCAGGTACGTGCATGTTCTAAAGCCAAAATCAGTATAAGCATGATCCGTCCATGTTACATGAGTTCAGTATTTGCAGCAGTGAAATCTATATAAACATTTTTACTTAGGACATTTAGGGAAATGTATTGCTCTGCATGTTTGGAATTTATAAACACCTTTGAAATGTTCATGCTTTATAATCCTTAACTCGAATTGGTAGAAGGATTCTGTTACTGTAACTGGCCCTGGAGGGCAGATGAAATTTTTAAGAGATGGAAGTGTATGCTGGCATTTGAGCTACTCTTTTCTCTTTTGACTTCTGGACTCTTAAATATTTGAGGTAGTCCCTTTTAGTTTATGCATGTCCAATTGTTAAAGAAAATGACTACACGGAGTAGACTGTGTAATACACTGCATTTTTTATTTTTTAAATTTCAGTATTCGGAAGAGTTTGTTCAGTCAGCTTACCTGTCCCGTCGCCTCGCTTATTTTTGTGCCAGACGCCTGTCTCTACTGCTAAGCGATGGTCCTCACCTCGTAGCTGCACACTCTCCCCATATGATTATGGGACCCAGTAACCCTCCTCTGGCAGCCCCCAGTCCGACCGCCCCTGGCGCCGTGGTGAGCCCGGTGCAGCTGGCCTGCTCGGATTTCCTCTCCTGCCCTCAACACCGTCCACTGGTGTATGGGCTTAGTTGTATGCTGCAGGTAGGCCAGTGTTCTGTCGCTCTTTGTTTTCAAGGCTCTAACCGTTCAGTTTTTTGGAAAACAGAGTGGGGTTTGGGTGTGACAAGTTGTGCTGGTTGTGATTTGAGATGTACCTGTGTCCACTAAAGGATGAGGACTGAGTGGGTCTGGGGGCAGCGGGAGGGTGGGCTCTCCACGCTGGCTGAGGCACGGTGGTGGAACCACCTGGAGAAGCTTGTGCTGCCCACGTGTCTGTCTGCACCTCTGCAGCGGGAAGGAGCGACTGTGCTGCCCGGGGTGGCCAAGCCTTCCCTCTGCGATGGAACATTTCTGGTTGCAGTAATGCTCTGCACATCTCATCACGTTCTTGTCACAGCGAACCCGCACGGTTCTGCCAGACCCCGACTGTCTGCCGAGCGCAGCTGGACAGAAGACAGCACCCTGCTGACTCCTGCAAGCCCGAACTTTTGAGAATTTCCTTCTTCCAGCTTGTCACCAGTGCTTGGTGCCGCTGCAGGCTGCTTCGTTTTGGTTCTGTCAGAATTACAGCAGTTCATATTGCCTTATCGACTGCCACAGTTTTTGAAACTGTGGAGCAGAAGAGACTGTTCACTTGTGCTTGTTGCTCAGCAATAGCGGAATTGTCAGGAGAGTAATTATTTTCTAAAAATGGACTCGTACGATGAGCTGCGGTTGGTTTGCTTGCCTTCCTGAGACTTCCCCACACCCTGCTGCTGCTGTCTGCCTCTGGGGGCTGCACAGAGATGTCCCGGTGTCGGTACTGGGAATATGCAGATGCTCGTGGGATCATAAAATCAGCAAACGAGTGAGGTTGTCAGGGACCTCTCCAGATGACGTCTCCCACATCCCCACCCTTGGGCAGGGTCAGCTAGATCAAGTTCCCCAGGACCACATCCTGCTGGACTTTTGACATCACCACCACCTCTCTGGGCAGCGTGTTGCAGTGCTGGACCACCCCCGTGGTGACAGAGCACTTCCTGGTGGTATGGAGCCCCTCTCCAAGGGCTGGGCTGTGCTGTGCCGCAGTCGCCGCCGCGCAGGAAGCCTGGAGCCCGGAGCCAGCCGGCCTGTGTGCGGGGAGGGCTCACGGTGCTGCCAGGGGCGAGAAAGCAGGAGAGCATCCGTATCCCCTGCTGCGCTGGGGCACGTGGGGCAGGAAGCCAGGTCCCATCTGGCGCTCAGCGTGCTGTGACTTTGTACCTCTGGAGTGCGGATCTGTCCCAGGAACATCAGCGTTCGTCTCTGTGCTGGGCTGCCGGGGTGTGCTGGTGTGCTCTGGCAGCCGTACAGCGCGCTCTGCTAGCCCCACAGCTGGTGGCCTGCTCTTCCTGTGCTGCGTGGGTGTGTGCGTGTGTTCCCTCTGCTCTTCCTTCTGCCCTTTTCCTTGTGCCGCCGGCTCCGGAGGACAGCCCGCTTCACACCAGCGCCCTGTCCCTTCAGAGGAGCGTTTCTCCAGGCAATGTTTCTGCCGAGGGGCTGCTTCGTCATCCAGACCTGGGCCGGGGGAGCTTCCCAACGAGTAATCCGGCGGTCTCAAAAAATTAACATCTCTAAGATGAATCAGCTGCCGTTATTGGAGATGAGGTTTAAGGTCTGAGCCGAGGACACCAAAACGTTCTGCCTTTGCTCCGTGCAACGCCCAGCGCCGCAGGGTGGTGGTACCTGCTGACGAGCCGTTGCAAAATGACTGCCTTGGAGCCTGTCAATGCAAAATCTGTCTGTGAAGTAAATCTTAAGTTCATGGTGCGTTTTGGTGACTCGTGTGCTTTAAAATCTTGACAGAAGAGTTGATTTTAATTAATTCATGAAATTTTAATTTTTCCCATGCAGCTTCTTTCTGTAAGCCAAACACCAAAAAGACTTCTTTTTTCTGTAGCCCGTTCGTGTTTCATAGAAAGAATCTGACTGAAATTAACCTTTGGTGATGTTCTTTGCGTTGTGAAAGCAATACCAATTGGAATTGAACACGTATATATTTAAATATTTTTTTTAATAACGAAGGAAAACAATGTAGTAGTTGAATTTCCTCAAATGGATGTTTTAACGTAGTTGTGCATAGGCCTGTCTTTTTGTTTCTTTCACTGTAGCAGTTAGACTAAAAGTGACTCCAGTCTCATGGACTCTCTTCTTGTCTATCACATATGTTTAGAAAAAGAAGTTACTTCTGTTTTGTATTATTGCTTGCAGACTGTAACTCTTTGTTGCCCAAGTGCCTTGGTGTGGAATTATTCCACAAATGAAAATAAGAACGTTAATCCAGGCTCACCTCTGGATTTACTTCAAGTTGCTCCATCTAGTCTGCCTATGCCAGGTGGAAATTCAGCGTTTAATCAGCAGGTAAGCTTTTTTGTGGTCAGATGAGTAAGATCTGTTTTGTATTCCTAATAGTGATTTGTGATCATTAGGACCACAGCCGAGTTTAGATATTTCTGTAGGTCAGGATTAGTGTTGTGCTGTTTTTTTGTGACCTTACTTTGTACTTCAGTCAGATACTGATTTTGTGAAAATATCAGGATTTTTTTTATGTTCAGATGTTTTCTGTTGTTAAACTGAAGTTACTTTAAGATGTCAAACGACAAATAAGAGGAAACTCGGCGTACTGCATTGTGAGATGTGACTTTTCAGACACACTGGAAGTTGTGTTGAATGTAAGGAAAAGGTATTTTTTGTACGAGATGATGCGTAACAGACAAAAGCATTCAAACAGAACATACTTCAGCTCCTTGTTCCCAAATGCAGGCAGTGTTGTGGAACACCATAGGATACCTCGCTCCTGCTGAGAAAGCCATCGCAAGCTTGAAATGCAAATTGAGATTTCCCACCACCAGCTAATTAGCAACTGTCTTTTTTACAGGTTCGGGCAAAGATTTATGAAGTAGAACAGCAGATAAAACAAAGAGGCCGTGCGGTGGAGGTGCGGTGGTCGTTTGACAAGTGCCAAGAATCAACTGCAGGTGAGACAACTCGAAGTGAAACAAACGTTGGGAGCTTTAGGGTTTACATCTGTTCTTCTTGGAGTATAATCCTTTTGTACCATGATTAATTCTAGCAATAGATTTGGCAGGTGGATGTCATGCCACGTCTTCCTGTGTAAACTTGTTTTTTTTTCCTTCCCCCCTGCCCCCACTTCCTAACTCCCGTCCTCAGGGGTGACCATCAGCCGAGTTCTGCACACCTTGGAAGTGTTGGATCGGCATTGTTTCGACAGATCGGATTCCAGCAATTCAATGGAGACACTTTATCATAAGATTTTCTGGGCAAATCAGAATAAAGATAACCAAGAGGTAATAGCTACATTCTCCTCTCACTTCATAATCTGTAGACAACGGATTTTATTTTTACCGATCAGAATTGTGTGTAAGTGTATATTTGATACGAAAGCTTCGTGTTTTCTGGGTGTATTTTTAATTTGCTACTTGACATTTGGTTTATTAGGAGAAAACAGCCCTTTGCTGTTGTAATTGCATTCTTCAGTGCTATGTGCTGCAAACCGCGTTTAGGAGAAATGATCTGTCAAGGTTTTGTGGTTTGTTTTTTGGGTGCTGTCAAGGAAAATTCCAGATAATTGTTTGGTAACAGCTTTTACATTGTTGTTGTAGAAAGTAGTAAATTGATAGGTTATTAAGTTTAGTAAAATATTCTAAAACTATGTATTTTTTTTTTATATTTTTACTTGTGCTTCTAGAACCATTTTCAGAGATCATGAAAAACTTTATCAGAAATCTTTTTTTTTTTTATTGTGCAGTGCAGATGATAATGTCACTGGGCGTATGTATAACGTCAAATTCCTGTGTTTTCTTGGAAAGTGTTTGGGGAAAAAAAAGAAATAACCAACTCTAATAATACACTGTTGAAGTAAAATTTTAAAGTGGAAAATATTAGTGAATCTGTCATAGCTGCTCATGCTAACATTTTAAGAATTTTTATGCAAAATGGCTTGTTTTTTGAATACACCTGACTTTTGTTCGTGACTTCTCAGAGATTGATGGTCGTAATTCGAGATCCTCTATCGCACATAGATACTGCATAATGGTTGTCAATTAGCGTTTTAATGACTTTGCAATAAACAAGAATATAGCATTGGAGGATAACATCTCTGGAAGTATTTCCAGAGAGATATACCTGCCAACAAACTCTATATGTGAATCTCGGAACTGGTAGGTAGGAGTGAAACGCTCGCCAGAGTTGTCTTTGTATTTCAGGTGCACTATTAAGGGAAGGAGAGCTGCTGGAGCAGGCAGATGAAGTTGTTGAAAGTTCTTAACCCTAATGCTTGGATGAAATCAGGAGTTCAACACACAAGGAGTTTTTTTATTTTTAAAATGGGTGGGGTGTGATATGCTTTATCGTTCGAGCGCTGGCTTTTTGTTTTCGTCCGTTTTTGGGGGCAGATGATGTGGTTCTGTGCTGTTGCCCTTCTGCAGTTGTGTTTGTATTTTCTCCCTTCTCCCTGTCTGTATTTCAAAAAGTTTTTCTGACTTCCAGCTACAATGGTGCCAACAAATGGTTTCTTTGTGTTTCAAAAGGCGGTGTTGGAAGGGAGACTTCCAACTTCCAAAGGAAGACTCTTATTTTGTGAATAAGATGACCATCACTAGTATGTCTGCCTACTGACACGGTTATTCAAAGCAAAACATACTTTGAAGCACAGCTATCTGCTGCCCCTGTTTTGATGTGTGCCCAAGTGGAACATGTTTGGAACTTCCTGTCCGTTTTTCCTGCTGGATTGCAAAATGTTGCCATGAAGCCTGGAAATGATGCCAGTGCAAGTGTGTGCGAGAGCGGTGCTGCAGAGCACGGGGCACAGGCTGGAATGGGAGGAAGATGGCTCTTGCTGGTCCTGGGAGGGACTGAGAGCAGATGAATGTGCTCAGGATGCTGCTTTTGTAGACACTAGTGATTTCTTCAGAATTGTTTTAATATAGAACTCATGAATTCCAAGTGTCAGAGCAAAAGCAAGACTTGGGGGAAGAGGATGGAATGAGGGAGGATTGGTGGCTGTAGACAGGTTCGCTGTGAGGCCACCCTGCAGGGTGAAGAGCTGCTTCTCATCCCGTCGGGAGGTGCAGAGGAGTGGTGCTGAAGGCTGGGATCTGGTGAGACTGGTGACACAACATGAGAGCGCAAAACAGCGAAAAATGTGGAGTGGGAGGCTGAGCTGCGGCCATACTTTGAGTATGAGTAGGACAAATAGGGCAGACATCGAACAGAGCTCAGATTTTGAGCATCATGTTGCATATGACAGAGGTGACACACTGAAGCTGTGTGAGAAGATGTGATGTTAGATCCATATTTAGACCAGACCCAGCACAAACCCTCCATCCTTGACCTCGAGAGAGGCCACAGAAGTGGGAGGAGAATCCAGCTCTTCTCCAGTGACTTGGAGAAGACTTAGCGTGGAGGAGCACTGATTGCATTATTAAATGCTGCGTTATTAGGCAGACTTTAAATAGGAGATAAGAATTGCGTTGCACTGTACCTGTGTCTTAAGAGTGATGGTCCCTGCGTAATCCCGTAGGAATGGCTTCGTCTGAGCCTTAATCATGGGTCACTGCCTGAGTGCTCTTGTGTGGTGGGATCCCTTACAGGCACAGGGCTTCCATCAGGGTCTGCGTGCAACCCAAAAAGTAGCACTTACTACATCTGTCAGATGCTCAGCTTTTTATCCATGGAGTTCCAAACGATAGTGACAGTTGTTGAATTCTTTTGGTGTGAAGGTCTGACAGCCAATGAAAGTGTGATATCACAATTAATATGGAATGAACGATGCCACCCTGTGAGCATGACCATGCGCACAGTGAGGAATGCAAAGGACCTTTCGTTTCTGACCCTGCTTCACTGACTTCTGTAGGGTTTCTCAGTCGATCTGACTGAGTAGGAGGATTTGAAATCTAGAAATCGATGACGTGGCATAAAGCAGTAAATTCACTTTCATTTGAGGTGGTGTTGCAGAGAAAACTACTGGCCTTGTTTATAGCCGCAGGTATTTTCCATCTGACATTTCCTTGACTCAAAACATCTCTGTGCACAGCTCCAGAATGGTTACTACTGTGGTGGTTATTGTGGAGGTACCTTTAAATAAAGAAATCCATACAGTACAGTTTTAAATTGGAGTATAACTGTGTTGCACTCGTCAGGATTTGGAACACATTTGGTTCCTCTCCACCTCCTTTTGAAGATCACTCGCTCTGAAGGCTTGAGTCAATTTGTGCAAAAATAGTCCTCAGAAGAGCGAGCTGGAGAACACAATACCAACTTCTTCAGAGTGTAGATGAAAACTCCTCTCTGAGCTCACCTGCTGTCTTCCTGTGGCTTAAACCACTCAGCTCTCACCAGCTCTCACCTGCCTTGGAGCCTGCCGGTGTTTCGTTATTGTCAGGCTTTCACAGACACAGCTAAGGAAGGGAATGGAGAAGGGATTCCTCCCCCCGCTTAATCTGTGGTGGTTTGGAATGGCTGGTGAGACCTTTTAACTTGTCAGTCTCCTGTGTTGAAAAAGACAGTTCGGTTAACTGTAGCTGGAAATACACCTAAGCACTGGGATAACTAGGAAATGAAACTTCCTACCTCTGTTTTCTGACTAGTATGCAACAGTAGATCGATGAAAAGAGAGCACACTTGATTTTTAAGGAATGATACTGAATTTATTGAAATTGTGGTGTAGAATCCTGAAACTTCCTGGATTTTTGTGCACTCAGATTTCTTTTAAAGTTTAAGTCTCTCAACTTGTGATTTAGATCTTGCTTCTCATGTTGTCTTTGAAGTCCAACTGAATTCTTACAATGCCAAGAGATGTTTTTCATTCTAGAGAGGAAAAGTCCTGTTTTGAACTTGGTTCTCACGAATGGGGCTTGTTACAAATGCAGAGAGTTAATATTTGTCTTTCTGAGATCACTTTTCTGGAAATGAAACAAACAAAAAAAACCCCAACCCCGCTGTGTCTGTGGGAAAGGAGGTCTACTGATGCCTTTTTAGTTAGTAAGCCACGATCTCACAGTTTGTTACTGCCTAAGGGACCTGAATCCAGGCGTGCTGGGATGCGTGACGGGTAAGAGAGGCAAGACGAGCAAAATAAAATGGACCGAAATATCTGCAGAATCAGAGTGTATTTCCACCAGCACTGAGAAAATCGAGCATGTCTTGAGCATTCTTGTAATATTTTTGGTAATGCAGTGAGCAGCAGTTCAGTTGCTCGAATGGCTTGCTTACCTGAAGAGTGGGTATTTTTAGCCTTTGTTATCTCAGTAAATCCAACATCAGGTTCCTGCTCCCCTGGGTGTCCAAGGGAGGTACAGTACAAAATCTCTCTGGAAAGGAGAAATTTATTCTGTGACTTAATTAACTGCTGGGGTCCTGAAAAAGAACACGCAACTTGTTTTTTCGTTTTCTGTTAGACACCTTCAAAGCAGTGGTTAATATTTTGTTGAACCTGGTCTCATGGTTTAATGCAAATATGCAGATTGCACTCCAGTAAAAAGATTTTTCTTTGAGCTCGTCTGTACTGCCAGGGTCAGTGCATTTACTTGATTTAAAAACCCCAAACTTGTGTGGACAGTTTTTCCGTGGAGCGTGGTACACCTTGGGAGCTCCGTGGTTACGGATGTGCGGATGTGTTGTCAAACAGAGTGAACTGTCCCGACTGTTTCCATGAGTTTCTGTGTGGATTTGGGATTCTGAGCCAGGCATGTGCAGATGGCACAGGTCCTTTTTTTTTTTTTTTCTCTATGAAAATCTGGTAGTGTTCTTGTTCCTGGCTCTTGTCTTCTTTTCTCCCCTGTTCCCTTTAGAAAGGCAGGCTGTACTAATAAACGCTGTATTTTACCCCTTGTTTATCTCTTTTAATAAAGATACAACTTCTGGAAACCTTTTCTTGTCTTCCTAGAAAACAGATTTGGAGTTTAATGTTAAAATGTTAATTTTACTTCACTGAGGAGTTAATTTGAAACCTCCTTTAAAAAAAAAAAAAGATAAAAAAGGGAAAAAAGCCTAGTTAGTACTTAAAGGGGACATTCTTAGATGATAACATTCTACAACATTAGAAATAAAGCAGCTCTGTGTTTGGAGACTGAACTCTATCGTGCAGGAAGCAACCGGATTTTTCGTGGCCGTTGTTTTTTCGTTAACCTTCTTGATGATTTAGGGACAGACCAGCTTCCTGCGGTAAGCACCTGCTCAGGTTTGGTGAATGCGAGCACATTTTCAGTATATCCCGGTGTGGAAGGGAAGAGGAATGGCCATATAAATGTGGGTATGGTACACACACACACAGATACACGCACAGATATACGTACACACAAAGTGTCTCATTCGTACCCTCCGCAGGCGTCTATGGTGTAAGAGCACACCTGCCACGACCCCTTTTTTCCCCCTTTTAACCCAAGCAGCAGCGTGTCTCGGGTGGGAGGAAAGGTGTCTCCGGTGCTGTTCATCTCTCTGCCTTGGCACGAGTCGAGGCGCGCGGCGGTGTGCCTGTGCCCGGCCTCCCGCACCGACTGCCCGTAAGCGGCTGTGGGCACGGGGACGGGACTGGGCTGGGCGGCACTCCCTGCCGTGCCCGGCAGCCGCGGTGACACACGGTGCGGGCATTCCCTGGTGTCGCTTGGAGAGGTTTTGGGTGAGGTGAGAGGTTGGGGTTTCCCTCTGCTCGGTGATCTGAGCTGCTGGGCATCATGCCCCGCTCCTGCCGCCGCCGCGGGAACACAACTGCTGTGGTCCAGGTGCCCCAGTGGTGGCCGGGGCTAGCGCAGAGCCACGCTAGTGCCTCCGCAGCAGATCTTAGTTAGCGATAAAAGCGAGGACTGGTGGAAAAAGGGCTGCCAGCTGTGGAGAGCAGAGGTGTAATGGCACTTTTGGCTTCCTGTCTCCAAACCTACCAGGAACAGTAATGTTTAATACTTTCCTGTGTTACCAGTTGCAGTGCTTTTTTAAAAATAAAACCAAACCAACTCTTTTCTTCACCCACCTTCTACTCTGGTTATGAATTGGTGGAAACGAGGCCTTTGGTTTTCTCTGAAAGGGTTTACTGGTGGCTCTCAGGAGGGTACGGCTGTTTTGGGAGATGGCTGCATGGCCAACGTTGTGAGGGAGTTGTCTGACCTTGAAATCTCGTTCCAAAGGTGTGTGCTGCCTGCTGTAGATAACCTCCCCTGTTTGATGCCACCTCGAAGTGTTTTTCTTTTGTTAGGACTTGTGGAATCGTAGAATCATAGAATCATAGAATGGTTAGGGCTGGAAGGGACCTTCAAAGGTCATCTAGTCCAACCCCCCTGCAAGGAGCAGGGATATCTCCAACTAGATCAGGTTGCTCAGGGCCTCATCCAACCTGGCCTTGAACGTCTCCAGGGATGGAGCATCCACCACCTCTCTGGGCAACCTGTTCCAGTGTTCTACAACTCTCATGGTAAAAAATTTTTTCCTAATATCCAATCTGAATCTACTTCCCTCTATTTTAAAACCATTACCCCTTGTCCTATCACAACTGGCCCTCCTGAACAGCCTCTCCCCATCTTTCTTGTAGGCCCCCTTGAGGTACTGGAAGACTGCTATAAGGTCACCCCGGAGCCTCCTCCAGGCTGAAGAGCCCCAACTCTTTCAGCCTGTCCTCATAGGAAAGGTGCTCCAGCCCTCTTATCATCTTCGTGGCCCTCCTCTGGACCCTCTCCAACTGGTCCATGTCCTTCTTATGTTGGGGGCTCCAGAACTGGATGCTTCCAGAACTGGAAGGTTTGGGAATCTGGAGGAAGGGTCTCATCCGTGGGAGTTTCCCCCGGCCAAGGGAGCTGCAGTTCCTGCCCACGCCTGTTCTCTGCTCCAGCACCTTCTGCCTTGCTTTCCCTGCAGCACGGAGCCGTTGAGCAGCGTGTGAACTGATCTTTTTGTTTTCCTGCCCATGAATTTTAAGGGTACAAACGTGATCTGAATGCTTCTCTTCAAGGCAGTGGGTTGAGCCCCTCTGAGATGTGGTCTGCGCTTTTCCAGGCCAGACCGTCTGCTGGTACAAGATCCCAGTGAGACAAATCCAGAACCTGATCACTCTGAGAGGCGTTACTGAATTGTGTTCTGAGCACCTTTGAGCCAACGCGGTGTTGGAAGGGAGGAAACCGTGAGGTGCAGCTATGGTGAGAGCGTCGGGAGGAAGGAAGTCCTGCGGCGTGCAGCAGGCTGCTG